CCAGGAGCTGATAGGAATTTTTTTAGGACCGTGGGAAAGAAATAGGAAGTTGTAATCAGGGAGAAAAGAGGAAGTGACCATATGAGTAAGCATCCCTGATTTCACCTTCTTCCACCTTGAACTACAACCATGAGGTCCTGTAATTGTTTCTAGGGCAAAACCCTTTCAAGTACATCCTTTGATTTGAATGAAGAAATCAAAACAAAGAATTTTTGCTATCTGCCTTCCTCCACGGCTGGTGGTAAACCATTCATAAGAAATTTTGAGTCATCTCCTTAACGCATTTTAGATTATAACCAAAATTACAGATCAGTTCACTTTCAGAAAAAGAAGCAGCACTTAAATGCAGGGATAAAGGCCTTCAATGCAAGTATAACTGGCAAGGTGAGATCAACATTGTGTGATACAAACTTCAACTGATTTCTCTGACTTCAAGAAAGAGAAATGTTTATATCGATATTGCTGTAGCAGAATGAATCTCCTGGTCTACTATGTTTGATATGAGGTTTTTTTTTTTTTCTGTAAAGTCAAAGAATGAATTTTAGGAACAACAGAGATTAAGAGAAGAATGTACTTATTGAGAGAAATAAAGCTGCCTGAGATAGAGAGAGATGGAGTCCTGAGCAGGTTGCCAAACATTGACCTTTCTAGGGAACTTTATACAGTAAAATCATGTGGTGAAATGAGTTTAGGGTTGGTAAACTAGGAACTCACAATGCAAATGGGCATAAGATGAGAAAGAGCTACGGTACCCAATAGGATTATTAAGTTCAGGTAAAGCTGATTAAATTGGGAACAAAGGGGGAAGGGAGTCACATAGAAAGCAGGCATTCTTAGGCAGTTGTGACTCTTCCCTTAGGAGTTTGGGAGGGTGACTTCTGAGTTCCTCAGTATGATAGGAACTATTTAGAATGTCAGTCTTTAGGATAAGGATACATTTCTTTGAATGGTGACTCCTGACTTCCTCAGAGTGCTAGGGAACTATTTAGAATATCTATCCTTAGGCTATGGATGAATTTGCTTATCATTGTCTTGAGCCTTGGCCAATAGCATGAGGTGTCAGTCTTCTCCATAGTTGCAAGGTATCTGGTCTCTTGCATGGGCTCCTTGGAGGACCTAGCCCTGCTTCATGCCAAGAGTATTTAAGTAACTCAGGTGCCTGTAACAGTACTGTTTGGAAAATTGATTAGAGATGTCTTGTGCTCTGGGTGAATGATCTGGGGATGACAATGTGCAATGTATATACCACTGTTGCCCCCTGATTGACATGTTTTGAAATTCAATTTTAGTTGATGTGCTCTTTTTTCCTTGAAATAAAATGGATTTGAAAATTAAAAGCCTGAGGTAAAGCTCTTCAGGACAAACACTGTTCTGTCAAGCTGGGTTCACCACTGTAGAAGAATGACAGCTCCAGAAGTCTCTGCACTACAGTCTATCATTTGGGATCCTCACTTGCAGGAAGGGGTTCCTTTCCCTGGTTATTCTTGACTCAGAAGGAAGACAGTATAGCAGGAGTCAAGCAGTGATGAAGGGGCAGGCTATATGAACTGTCCAATCAGGCGGGCCATTGCTGGCTGTGACTTCTGTCTCTTCTGGTGTCTCAGCATGATTTATCTGTTCTGAGTAAAATAGTGGTAGCAAAACACGTGCTGGATCTCATTCAGTACATTCAATATCCTGTGGCCTGAATAGCAAAGAACCTGAGAGATCCTGGAACCATGGAATAGTGAGGTTGTGGATGGGAGCCCAGAAATAGGGTGGATTGGGTGAAACCAGTTACAAGTATTTAGGAGTAGTTCCGGTGTCTGGAGCCCCAGGTATTTAGTTAGCTTCAGCTCCTGAGGTCCTCCAGCATTGCCCATGGGTCATTCTCTGTCCCTTTTGCCTCTTGCTGTTGGCAAGGATGATTTGGGTGTCCTCAGAACCCTGGCTTCACTATGACAGCAGCAGACTCAAGTATCATCTTTGAAATTCATTCCTAGCCTGGTAACTCCAGCATCTTAGGCATTGGAAGGAATTTGGGAAGACCCTGAATATGATGATTTGTAGCGTGTAGAGCAGTAATGAGCTAGGTCTCTGCTCTTTTTCCTCAGAGTAGCAGATCTGGAATGTCTGGAGTTTATTAATGTATGTAATGCAGGGCCTCATAGCCACAATGGCTCAACTTAAACTTGGCTTTTTTGTATTTATAGTGATCTCCTTAAATTACAATATGTTCTCATATTTCCATCCTCAGGACAGGTAGTGGCAAAGGTCCTGAGAATTCAGGGATTTGTAGTAGTGTGCCTCAGTGGAGAAAGGCTTCCCAAACACCTGGTGAACTCCTGTGTATTATACAGATCAGTGCAAAACAATTTGTGAACATACTTAATAATTTAGGTGGTACTCCCGCTCACAGTCTAGGTTTGTAGAGTTTTGAAGTCTGAGAAAAATGAAGCAAATATGAAAGTGTTATCTAGGACAGGGTAAATATTTGTGAAGGACAAATTCCAGAAAGTTCTACCTGTTAAATTCTCATCGAAAAATGCCAAAATTTAGGCATTTGCATGGACATATACATGTGATATCCTTTTGAATGGAAAGAGGTGTCATCTCTGAATTAAGAGCTGATTTAGTAGCTTGGTTGTTCATAGAGTGTTTAAATATGGAAATTCTCTACAATGGACCTATCTAAGTGGTGTAAAGGAGAAGCCCTAAATAGAAATTTTGTTAGGCATGAAGGATTTTCTGCTTAGGATGGATCAGAGGAGTATGGAAAGGATGTGGAAGTGACTGAGAGGATGCAGGAAGCAAATAGCAGGACATACAACAGAGAGGGTCTTCACTGAAAGTCAGGTAGTTCTTAGAGTAAGTGTGAAGTAAAGTTGGGTTCTGATTGCTTCATTGAGGTGATCAACACCAGCTCTGGCAACAATCAGTATTCCACATCCCTGTCAACCCATTATTTTTGTGTTCTGTACTTGAGATCTAATTTTGATTATCTCTAATTATGCCCCAGTGTCATGAAAGTGAAATTTGAATTTTTTTTGTACCAAGGATCAAACTCATGACCTATGCTTTCCTGGCAGGCATTCATGCTACAGAATTAAATACCCAACTATGAAAGTGTTTTCTGTGTAGTATGGAAGATATCCATATTGTTTCTCAGAAAGTGTTGAGTATTGTTGAATTTTTCTGTATTGTACACCTATAATGTTTTAAAACAAACCAAAGATGTTTTATGCAGTCTCTTTTTAAGTTTCACTTTGTTCGGTATCTCAGTCAGGGATTGTCTATTTTAGATGGCTCTGTAACTTAGGATAGCCCCAAATTCAAGGAAGAACTCCTTCACCAGCCTCCCAGGATATATTTCTTATATTTGAATTGAAAGTGATCACTTGGTGACAGTGAGGTATAATTTACAGCTTGGGCCTGGTTTATTTTTATATACGTATTTTTAAAAATACAGCTGTTTTCCACTATAACACTTGTTATTATTATTTATGTACCATATTTGATGTTATTTATGTTTTGTTCTATGAAACCAAATTAATGTTTCAAAATGCTGCTTAAGTATATTAAGAACAAAGTACTCATTGGCCTAAATGAGATTTGAAGAGACATCATCTGTAGTCTATCAAAGTGATTGATGAGATTTTTTTATTTAATTTTAAAATTGGTAAAATACAACAGAGCAAGGCAGGATAAGGCCAACTAAGATCACACAGTGAAATTGGTACACAACTTCACAACAGGTTACTGGGATAACAGTAATAGGTATCACAGTATATTTTTTATCTTTGTAATAGTTTTTCTTTAATCACATATATTAAAATGAGATGAAATACAGAACATTATAGAACTTATCAAAACAGAATATTGAATAGAGCAGTACCATTAATCAGAATAGACTGAAACAATAATAAAAACATTTTCCTTAAAAGTAATAGTAGAAGGAAGTCCCCTTATTTGCTATGGTCAAATTGCCAAGAGATGCTCAGATTTCCAGTTCCCATTTGCTAATATGGGGTGACAGGAGAAGAGGGGTAGGGAAGTGGGATGTTTGATTCTAGGTGGTGCATCAGTATGTCACTATTGCTTACTAGGGAGACAGGCTCTTGTTTGGTTTCACAGCATCCTAAGTTTCAACATAGCATGGATCTCAGGAGCTGCTGCTGGTTCTCCCCCTGGAAGGGCTGCAGTCTGACAGACTGCCACCACTTACCAGGGAGAAGTGGTGCTTGACTGGCTTCCCAGTGTCCTAAATTCCAGGTTGGCATGGATCTCAGGAGCTGCTGCTGGTTTTCCCCCTGGAAGGGCTGAAATTTGCCAAACCACCACTGCTGACCGGGGAGGGGAGGTGCTTGCTTGACTTTCCAGTCAATTGATGGGATATTTATCTGCCTCTGTGCTTTGTGGTTGCTGGTCCTGCAGGCTTCTCACTGTGAGCTCTGCTTTAGAGACAGTGCAAGGGGAATCTTGCCAAGATTCAGCACAAGAATCAGTGCTCCTATTTGGCTGTTACATTAGCAGTGAGTTGCAATCTAGCATCAAATTTGCTGTCTTCAAAAATGTGTATATACACAAAATTAATGACCAAGACATGTATTAAAATTGGAAGAAATCAGTCTTCATTCAGCTGTTTTGTTTGGTTGTATTTGTTTAGTTTAGTTTTGTTTTATTGAGACAAGCTTTCTGTATGTATATCAGGTGGATTTGAACACCCTATGGAGCCTAGACTTGCCCTGACCACACTGATGCCATCCTGTCTCAGCCTTTTGAGTGCTGGGATAATAGATATGCACCACCACACTTTGCTTTTGATTCAGATTTCTAGGAGAAAATTTAAGATATCCCAAACCTGGGGTCTCAACCTTCCATTGAGAAATATATGTATGATCCTTTAGGAGGTGGTGACCTTTGAGGATGTGGTCGTGAACTTCAGCAATGAGGAGTGGACTTTGCTGAGTCCATCCCAAAAGAAGCTCTACAGAGATGTGATGGGCGAAACCTTTAGGAACATGACTCTGATAGGTAAGGATAAAATCTTTTTTGCCCCTCATGCTGTCAGAATATTGTTTCTTGCTCATTAGTGCTGTTTCATGAAAAAGAATATGAAAATATTTTTTAAAATATCTCAGACCTGGACACATTATAACATAACTCTAAACAAAACCTATTAATTTGTATGTATTACTCTAAAGAGTCCTGGTATTTCTGTGTCTACAATGCAGGAGGACTCTGGGATATCCAGGAAGCTGAAAAAGAAGGCAAAATTTACTGGAGCTACTTAAGGTAATTCGCACTCACAAGGAGAGGAATGTTCCTCAGCAATTAGTGAGTAGCAGAAAAATGACAACCAAAGAAAGAGACACCATTCAATTTAATGTCAGTAATATTCTCTGAAGATGTATAAGCTAGTGTATATATGAGCGAATTAAATCATGAAAATGTATGACATTGCATATAGATGAATACAAAAAGGATACACTTTGAGTTGCCTTCAGTTTTTCTACCCATGTCTACAGGTGAATATAACACATTCATTATCTAACAATTGCTAAGATTGCAATAGAATTTGAAATAAAACTGAGTGCTCATGTTTCCAAGACATTCTCTAGAGAATCAGCCATTCTGATTAATATTCTTAGTAGGCTGGTGGAATGTTAGTGCACTCATTTTGAATATCAGTATACAGTTGTCTCTAGAAATTGATCCCCTCACACTTGTCCTGGATATTTTTAAAATCTCAAATCTGCAAAAAATACTGATACATGCTTACTCATATACAAAGCAGATTAAGTTATAACAGATCAGGCCTTGAAGCTTATCTATCTATCACTGGATTTGTGGAGAAGGAAAATGTTAATAGACTCTCTGTGATTGTGCATTTCTGTAAACCCAGCACACTAGGAATCAGATTTTGCAGAATGGCAAATTCAAGTTCAAACTTCACAGCTTAATGATCAGCGAAAATATCTTAAAATAGATTTTTAAAAAGCTACAGATTTTATGCTAATACCTGTTGTTCATTCCCAGCCCAGAAAAGAAAATATGTGTTATATAATGTCAAAAAATAAATAATATAATGTCATTTGCCATAAGAAATAGATGGGTCTTTCACCCATCAATTCAGTGAAATAGCTCAGCTATAAAACATAAAAGGTCACAGGGTTTCTTTTAGATGAGACACCAAAATATAAATTGTGGAATGTAATGAAAGAAAGTTGATAGAGAAAAGTAAGACTGACAATATGGAAAAGGGAACTACAGGTTAAGGACAGAAGGGAGATTGGAATGGGGAAACATATCAGAATAATCTGTATGTGATACACATATGTGCCCATGCCCAAAGTGAAGCTAAAGATTCTGCATTTCAAAGTACCAAATTTTAAGATTTCTAAATGTATGCCAGTCTTTTGGGAATGGTTGTTTTCAACATATCTTACAAGGCCATTCTGTTGCTTCATGGTCAGAATTTCTTAGCAGGCATTAAAAACAGAACTTGACATTAATGCAGTCATTAAACAGAGACCCATTTCACTGTGAATTTTTCTTTTTTAAATTTATATAAGGAAAGATTAAACAAAACAAAATAAGTAGAGATAATGCTAATTTCAAAGTGAAAGTAAACAGTAAGAAATCGCAAGATGATGATTACATATGGTGCTCATGGAAATAGATATGAAATACAAAAGTGAAACATATGAAGTGGGGATTCAAACAGCGAGATTGCAAAAACTTAGTAATATGGTTATAAATCTTATATGTGATTTTTTTCTTTACAGAAATGACAAGCTAGGGAAATCCTATGGACATACATCTGGAGATGTATGGAATCAGTGTAAAGAAGTCTTCCTTGGTACTGAAGAAGGTAATGTGAATGCGAAAGAAACAGAAACACATGACAATGTTCAGATCCATGAAAAATATTGCAGTGGAGGGAAACCCTATGTATGCAAGCAATGCGGGAAAGGTTTAACCACACTTGGAATTTGTAAGAAACATGAAAGAATTCACAGAGGAGAAAGACCCTACATATGTAATCAATGTGGGAAAGCTTTTACAACACGTACATATTGTCAAGTACATGAAAGACTTCACTCTGGAGAAAAACGTTATGAATGTGAGCACTGTGAGAAAGCTTTCAGCACACACACTTATTGTGTAATCCATGAAAAACTTCACACTGGGCAGAAATCGCATATATGTAAGAAATGTAGGAAAGCTTTTAGCAGTAAAATTCATTTTCAAATACATGAAAATGTTCACAATGCAGAGAAACCCTATGTGTGTAAGCAATGTGGAAAAGGTTTCACCCAACTTGGACGTTGTAAGGAACATGAAAGAATTCACATGGGAGAGAAACCATATGTATGTAAGCAATGTGGGAAACCTTTTACCACACATGGATATTGTAAGAAACATGAAAGAATTCACACTGGAGAGAAACCATATGTTTGTAAGCAATGTGGGAAAGCTTTTAACACATGGGGAGACTGTAAGAGACATGAAAGAATTCACACTGGAGTGAAACCATATGTATGTAAGCAATGTGGGAAAGCTTTTAACAGACGGGGAGTTTGTAAGAGACATGAAAGAATTCACACTGGAAAGAAACCATATGTTTGTAAGCAATGTGGGAAAGCTTTTAACACATGGGGAGACTGTAAGAAACATGAAAGAATTCACAGTGGAGAGAAACCATATGTATGTAAGCAATGTGGCAAAGCTTTTAACACACGTGCAAACTGTAAGGGTCATGAAAGAATTCACACTGGAGAGAAACCATATGTTTGTAAGGAATGTGGGAAAGCTTTTAACAGACGGGGAGTTTGTAAGAGACATGAAAGAATTCACACTGGAGAGAAACCATATGTTTGTAAGGAATGTGGGAAAGCTTTTAACAGACGGGGAGGTTGTAAGAGACATGAAAGAATTCACACTGGAGAGAAACCATATGTATGTAAGCCATGTGGAAAAGCTTTTAGCACACGGGGAGATTGTAAGATACATGAAATCATTCACACTGGAGAGAAACCATATGTATGTAAGCAATGTGGGAAAGCTTTTAACAGACGGGGAGTTTGTAAGAGACATGAAAGAATTCACACTGGAGAGAAACCATATGTTTGTAAGCAATGTGGCAAAGCTTTTAAAACACGTGCAAACTGTAAGGGTCATGAAAGAATTCACACTGGAGAGAAACCCTATGTATGTCAGCAATGTGGAAAAGGATTCACTAGTTCTGGACATTGTAAGCAACATGAATGCATTCACACTGGAGAGAAACCATATGTATGTAAGCAATGTGGGAAAGCTTTTACCAAACATGGATATTGTAAGAAACATGAAAGAATTCACACTGGAGAGAAACCATATGTATGTAAGCAATGTGGGAAAGCTTTTAGCACATGGGGAAATTGTAAGAAACATGAAATAATTCACACTGGAGAGAAACCCTATGTATGTAAGCAATGTGGGAAAGCTTTTAGCACATGGGGAAATTGTAAGAAACATGAAAGAATTCACACTGGAGAGAAACCATATGTATGTAAGCAATGTGGGAAAGCTTTTAGCACATGGGGAGGTTGTAAGAAACATGAAAGAATTCACACTGGAGACAAACTCTTACGCATGTAAATAATGTGGGAAAGCTTTTAAAATGCAGTGTAACATAAGAGACTAGACTAATATCACTCTGAACAGTGAATAATAGTATCCTGAGAAGGAGAAAGGTGAGGAATTGCCTAAAAATAGAAGGCAGAGGACATTGTTAAAAGTGTATCAGGATTTAAAATCTACAGTAGTCTTGTTGCTCTATTTAGTTTGGTTATATTTTGTTCTTGTCTGTCTACTCATATTAGATTTGAGGGCACACAGAGATAACCCAAAAATAGCAGGTTATACCATGGTAACTATCCTTAATTTCCTATTAACTAAAACTGAAACCCTATATTACTTACATTGTCTTCTATGACTGATCTTCTTTGAAGCTGGTTTGTTTGAATGTTATTTGGCCTTGACTGATTTTATTCACTGTGGGTATGCTTGCTAGTATCAAGTTCAAGAGAAGAGGCAACTTCTCAGAAGATGACAAGATGTAAAAGATATCCATTGGTGGGCTGGGGATTTAACTCAGTGGCTTAAGCACCTGCCTGGCATGTGTGAGGTCATGAGCTGGATCTCCAGTGAACAATCAATCAATCAATCAATAAATAAATAAATAAAAGATATCCATTCCAGGTTTGATTATTTTTTAATTAAAGAGAACAAAGATAGGAAATGAAAAACAAAGCAGTAAAAGGGTACAAGTAATACAGAATTTCAAGAAAAAATTCAGTAAGAAATCACTAGTTAATAGGTTACATCTTGTCACCTTAGAAAGAGTTGTCCAAATTATAAAATTAAAGCATATAACGTGGACATTCATACAGTGAGATTGCAGAAAGTTCTGTTCAATGATCCAACAAAAGCTCAGTAATATGGTTTTCCATCCTACACACTCAAGCATGCAGTTATATCCCTTACACCACCTTCCTTTCCTGTTTATTACAATAACAATTACACTTTTTGAGTTTTTTTACTCCCACAGTTCTTATTACATTTTTTTGAAGAGAATAAATCCTAACATGACTAAATACAACAGAGTCAGTTAGAACAGAAGGGTGGGCATAGGACATGATGCAAAAATAGAGTATCAGATGATCAAAAATAGTTACCATTGTTCCTCTTGCTATTTTTAAAGAGAGTTGCCTATAATAGAATGGATCAAAACAGTACAGAACAAGACCAATAAAACCTACACTGGAGACCTTACAATATCTCAAAAGAAGATAATAGTGAAACTATAATGGTATCATAGTAAATCTTATTGCCTTCAAAGTGGTTGCCTATACCCTCAAACTTGATACTATCAAACACATAGAATATAGTAAAATCAGACAGAACAAGATGGGGAGAGCAATACTGGGGTTCAAATCAGGTTAATAGGAAAACAAATAGTTACTATAATATATGCCAATATTTTTAAATTTAGTTTTCCCTTAATTGAAAAAAAATAGTTTAATTTTTAAAAAAGGATGGAGATTGAGATAAAATAGGACATTGTAATAGAACAACACTTGTCAGAATGGAACAATTTAAGCATCATTGTATTTCACTCCCAGATAATCTAACATAATAGTAGTCACCATAGTGCCTCATTCCTTGAATTATTTGAGTATAACTTTGTATACTATAGCATCAAACATATCAACACAGTGTGAAGCCATTGAAGAGAATGAAAGAATTACAGGGTATTTAGAAACAGTTAACAGAAAACAAACAATGGTTTCTATATTATCTCCTTGCCTATAAAAATTTTTCTTTATACTATCACATATAGTAAAATATAGTAAGATACAACATGTTAAAACCAGTGGAAACAGATGGTTTGTGAGAGAGGGACCATTCTTACACCAGTGAGATTGAGCCCAGTATTGATCATGTTGGTTAATTTTGAATATGCTGGTGAGTTAACGTGGCAAACATAAAGCTGAACACGTTTCTGTATGTTTGGTAGGAATATTAGCCAACAGAGTGTTTTCATTTATATTATTCTTAACACATTATTATCTGGCTTCATTCTCAGAATTATTTTGTCACATAAAAGAAGTTGGTGGTGGTTTTTCCTTCAACTTGATTGAAGAATTGAAAAACAATCAGTATTCTTTATTATATACTGGATAAAATTCACCAGTGCACGTACTGTATCCCAGCTTTGTTGTTGTTATTAAGCAGCTGTGATGTTTACCCATTGCCTGTGCTCCTTATTGCTCTGTTCATCAGACTATTTCCTTCTGATGCATGTGGTTTGGGGACATCAATGGACACCAGATATCCATTAAGGGTCACATCTCATTTTACTTACGGATGCTACCATTTATTTTGTATCTTCAAACTATCTCTATAATATATAATTGTGTGAGTAACTCCTTTCAGTTACTCACATTTAATACACATTCTTGCAGGATGTGGTTACGGCTGGAGGAAACTGGGCCTGGTGAGTGCCTGGTCTCTTATTTAAGGATTCATACCCTGACCTGCCTGCAGTGTCCCCATCTCCTGACCTGCTCCCTGTAAACATCTGTCCTGCTCCATAGCTATGGTGAGTCCACATGTGGCAGTTCAGATCTTCATCTGGGTGGAAAACATTCAGTCAGGTTGGGCTCTGTAACAGACTGACCTTCTCATACAGAGCTGCCCTGAGTGAGAGAGGGGGCCTCAGGCATGTAGGGAGGAGCTCTGGAAACATTCCAGCACTGCTGTCCAGAATGCAGTGTGTGATGCTTTCCTGAGAACTTACTCAAGGATGAGGTGGCCTTGACCTGGGCCTTTTTTATCCATGGTTCCTGCTAGGTGCCATTGTGTCCTGCACCTCTGCCTGGACCATCTCTCTGACTTTAGATCTCCACATGGATCTGAGCAGACACAGTCTTCCTCTACCAGGCTCTAACTCTATGCTGAGGCTTCAAGTGTAAAATCTGTGACCCTCAAGTTCATCTTATATAAATTTAACCTGGAAATTTCACTTCTAGGGGTCATTATAAAAATGACATTGACCGACACCATATTCTCTTCTTAATCAGTTAAGGTGTGGACTGTTAGAAACCATGAACTTACCACAGCACAGATGCTGAGTTAATTATAAATTACAGCCACTGAAAATGCTGAAAGAAGGCCATGTCCTAGGCCATGTCCCTGATCTTTCCTGAGATGGAAGAGAGCTTGTGTTCTGGCTCTCTCTCCACCCAGCAGTGAAGAGACACAGGCCTGCACAGCAGGTGAGGACAGGAGAGAGGAGCTGGTCAATGGCAGACCTGTCATCTTGGGAGGGATGCCTTTGTGGTTTTTCCATTTTATTTTCCACTGCATTATTTATAGTGCTCCATTCAGTATTAATTCTGTTCAATTCACTTAAGAATAAATAGTTGGTATTTTCTTGAATAGGTAAGTGGAAATGGATGACTTAGTATTCTTTTATATGTAATGTAGGATATGCATATAGAAGAACATTCAAGCTTCACTTTATAGTTACATAAAATAAGGAGTCTTTTTATTCAGAAAGGCAACACATCATTCATGACTAACTTTTAAACCCCAAGATATGAAGCCATGCGAATCCCGCTGTGGTGTGTGTCCTGCCCTCCGTACGTGAGAAGTCACTGTGTTCATCTGTGTCTCGTAGAGGACACCCAGAATCTTCTTCAGAGTTTCTTTTTCCAGCAAGGAGGACTTGAATCTTCCTGTGCTCAGGCCAAGCAGGGAGTGTGCAGCATGCAGAGGAGCCCTGCACCTCCTGCCTTACACACATTTCCACCACCGCATCCATGCTGCAGCCCTGCAGGCCCAATAAGGCAGAGCTACCAGGGTGCAGCAAAGACTCTGCCACCTCAGCCCCAGGGGCCTCAACTCCTGGGTCCTGGCCTCAGCCTCCATCAGGCTCCACGCTCTGCCATGGATTGGACATTCTTAGTGGGCCAGACACACCATCAGTGCCTTGGTGCAAAGTCCATTTTCCACAGTGAGCCTTCCATTCTGCAAATTTTGATCCATTCCTTTCTAAATGAGGCTGAGGCATTGGAGACAAAACCCCACAAATTGACATTACTTTTTGTTTTTTTTTTCTTTTCCTTCTTCTTCTTCTTCTTCTTCTTCTTCTTCTTCTTCTTCTTCTTCTTCTTCTTCTTCTTCTTCTTCTTCTTCTTCTTCTTCCTCATCCTCTTCCTCTTCCTCTTCCTCTTTGTCTTCATCTTTTTTCTTCTTCCAGGTTTCTTTGATGCTTTAAATAAGTATTTAGAGGTGCATTTTGCCAAAAAACATTCCTTGTCTTTTCACACCCCAGTTAACTGAAATTTTTAAAGATTTCTGCTGCAGTTCACACCCTATGTGTTTGAACACTCAGAATCCATTCTGCAGCTTAGTAGAATGAGGGAAGCAAAGCAGAAAGTGAACTTGGGGATGTGACTGTGCCTTCTAAGACTTCAACTCATATCTTTTTACCTCAAAAATATGTGCTTCTGTAGGAGCTGAGTCTGGCACAGACAAAATGAGTTTCCTGCATTCATATCAGACAATCTCATTTCCTCTCAAGCACATTGTATCAGCTTTCTTATGGCCAAACTTGAAGAATTATTTCCAGTACATGAGAGGCTGCCACTGGTCCTGAAATCATGATGGAACTTTTTGTAAACACGTAGTCTGACCTACACCCTGGGACAGAAGCTAAAAGAGGCAGAGATGGCTGGCACAGATAGAAACACCTCAAAATTGTCAACCAACAGCAGCAGCAAGCAGGAACCAAGTTGCTGAGCTTTCACAATTGGGTGATGGAATCATGTGGTGGATTGTGCCCTGGGTTTACTGAGGCAACTCAGTACATCTAGGTTGCTGCTTCCATCCCCTTTCCTGCAGTGCAATACAAACAGAAAGTCATGCACATGCATCATTTATTTGCAATTTTTCTATTCCAGGAACAAAACTTGTGTTCATGAGAGTCCACATCTCTGCCATAGCAGACCCACCCACGGGCATTACCACAATGTCTTGTAAAGGATCACTTTATTTATACAAAACGCAGAGCAATGCTCCCAGCCTTGATTTTTCCAGACTGGTGCATTTTCAGTCATTTCTTGAAGGGAAGCTAAACGATTTAGTTTGAGTAAACCAAGTGTGTTACTGTGATTCTGTGTGACAGCCTTGCTTCCAGACCTGATGAAGGCAATGAGTGGGATCCGCTGGAGGTTTAGCTCCAAAGGGACATACTTAGCACAGCTGTGTCAGGCAGTGCTGCCCCTCACCTGACTGGCCACCCAGGTTTCCAAATGCCCTTTCGCAGTGCTGTTACTGGCTTCGGGAGTCACTGGATTGCAGTGGAGATGCCCAGTGCACTGGTTGGCCCAGGGAAAACCTTGTTTTGGCATGAGTTGGTCATTCTTAGCCCTGCAGATCTGTTGCCCTGGGGCCAGGGCAAGGTTCCCCCAGCTGCAGTGAACAGCATCATCCAGACAACTCTCCTGTGCACACTCTACGCAGAGGCTAGGGAGGGTCCCACTTCCTTCCTGCTTCAAAGAGTACTGTGAATCAAACTCTTGAAAATTTGTGCAGCATTCTGTGTGGGAGAAAACTCTATTCTTAGTCCCAGGGAAGGCTGTTTAGAGCTCTGATGGGAGCTGCAAGATAGGGCTGTGCTCTGCCCCGCATG